ACATATTATGTTTCAGCTTCCGCACATCTCAGACTTAGTTTGTATTATAAGATTATTAGACTTATGCATGTATAATGCCTTTATCTCCGTGGTACCTTTATATAACGGATTTGATTAGGTTGCATGTATTGATTTACGTCTGCATGAGAAAGAGTTTAAGTTAGTAGCATCCCGCAAGTTAGTATGAGTATTTTTGAAAATAAAGTTAAAGAGTTTTTTCGAAAATAAAAAGCAAAAGTTTTACTCTGATTTTATAAATTCTAGAATAATAAGGCGGGGTGTTACAGAGTCTCTTCCGCCTTCTCCAAGATATGAGCATACGTCGACTTAGTCACACGACCGTGAATCACTGGCATCCCAAGGTATTTCCCCAGGTTGTCGGTTCTTTTAAAATGTAACGCATCCGCCAGGCTAATTTGATCAGTTACATCGACGTTACGTGAGAAGAAGACTTGTGTCTTTTCCGAGCTAACCTTCAAGCCCGACATAGTGCTGAAGAGTTCAAGAACATGTTTCACGACTCTTACATGTTCATGCGAAGCTTCCAAGAACAATAGTAAGTCATCTGCGAACATCAGGAAGGGGACCGACACCTGGCCTCGTCCAATAGAAATCGGCTTCCAAGCGTTCTCTTGAACCGCGTGGTCTATGAATTGCGCCAGTCTCTCCATACACAAAACGAAAAGGTACGGCGACATGGCTTGTGTAAGGTCAGCTTCGATGCGCCTGCTATGGAATGGGACACTTGGGGATGAATTCCTCCCTACCAGGGGCGTTCGGCAAGGAGAAAACTAAGTTTTGACAGTTCAGTGAAACACTTGGAAGTTTCACCCATTCCCAAGAACCGTCAAGTGTTAAAATCTGCCTAAGTGGTGAGGTTAAGTCAAGGACTTTTAATGATTCCTATACCTACGGGTGGAGTAAGGCAGAATACTCTTTATAGGGGAATCACCTTTGTAAGTGAGAAGTAAATTGATCGCTTCAACGAACACTTACTAAACCGAGATATGGTCCAAGGCCGAAATGGACACAACGTGAGAACAAGAAATTGTTAGAGCTGTTATTGTGTGAGTATTATTGTCTTGGTGCACGCAAACAGCTGGTAAGTTCAAAGCATCTCGCTACTAACTGGCTAGTGTATCCAATAGTATTTCACTAAGGAAGATTCAAAGCCACAAGCTATCTATCCTGATGCAATGATGGTTCGCTGGAACTCTCAAGTATTGCATACATGCATTAATTTCATTCATGTGGGGGATTGTAAGAAAAAATTGGTTTTGTACCGATTTAACGATTCTATTTTTCGTAAGTAGAATACTTAGAAAAGTCTCGAAACCTTTTTAAGGTGAATGAGAAATTAATTCTAAGTGTTGTATTTTAATTTATTGAGTATTAAACAACTCAAAAGGTTGTAGGGTTCACAAACATTATATTTTAATAAATGTTTGGATAAACTAAACGAGCCATAAATATGCATTATGTATGCTAGAATTGTAGAGGGGCTCGTTGGGGACAAGTAGGAAAAAACAGAACTCGATTCCGAGTCCGTATGAGCTCGTACGAGCCCGCGGCGCACGGGCGCGCAACTGGCTGCGGAAATCGAAGGGTTGCAACACTTGGTGACCATAAGATATCTTTTGGCCACTAGATACATCCGTTCTTGTTCGGGCACGTCCCAAAAGGTGTCTTTTGACACTTAAACCTCTTGGAGGTGTCTCCTTACATCTATAAATACCCACTAACATGAAATCATCCATGACATCAAATAATTCCATAACTTTTGCATCCTTTTTACAAAGTTCATATTCAT